AACAGAGAATTATGTAAAAAGAGAATGTGAAAACACAAACTTATGAAAAAAATGTATAACAAATTTGGGGAATGGAAAGTAAAATATATGGCATGTGCATTAGTTTTCTGGGTCTGCCATAATGAAGTATCAAAAATTGGGTGGCTTAGAACAACAGAAATTTATTGTCTCATAGTTCTGGAGTCTAGAAATTTGAGGTTAAGATGTCAATAGGGTTGGTTCCTTCTGAAGGCTGTAAGATAGAATGAGTTTCATGCTTCTCTCCTTTTGGTGGTTTTCTGACAATTTTTGTGTTCCTTGGCTTGTAGATTCAGCACCCCGATCTCTGCCTTCATGTTCACATGGCTTTCTTCCTATGTGCATGTCTGTCTCTGAGTCCAAATTTTCCCTTTTTATAAGGAACCCAGTCATACTGGATTAGAACCTACCTTAATTACCTCATTTGAACTTGATTACCTCCACAAAGATCCTATTTCCAAATAAGGTCACATTCTGAGGCCCTGGGGTCTTGGGCCTCAAACGTCTTTTTGGGGGATGCAATTCAACCCATAACAGTATGAGTGTGCCAAGAATATAGGATGAATGAGATGGTGGAATAGGGGAAAGAGGAATTGGATCCAAGCATAGGAATGGGAACAGAAAGATAGGCCTAGATTACTTAAAGATAAGGGTTTTCTAAATAGAAACACAGACACTTATTCCAAACCTACAATTTAAGCAGATGTGTTTTACGGTCAGCGATCAGTACTCTATCTGCAACTGGTAGATTTGGTTCCATGTCATTAATAAACATAGACTTAAGGAATGTGAGATAGTGTACTTGATTATTCAATCTTTAGTTTCTAAATCCCAAAGGAAGACGTTATTTCTCTAAGGGCATATTATAAAAATAAGTGAGAATCACAGGGGTGCAGATATTAGTAAAGTTAAACTACTTTAGTAAAATAAAGTGACCCTGAGTCCTGGAGCTCAGAAGGTTTTTTTCAAAGTAATTATACACTTGACTTCAACCATTTTGCTTAGCAACTTACTCAGAGACAGCTCTTTCTTCTGAACCCTGGCTTTTTCTCCTTTTATCATGCCTCATGGCTTTCTTTACTAATTCATTCAACCAAGGCGCTTCTTTTCCATGACCCTGGGACTCACAGTCCACCACCGCCTTCTGTCACAGCTGCCCTGAAATCCCCAAGCTGTGCTTAAATCCGGCCCCCCACCTACTTCACTCCCACACCCAGTCTGTGGATTGCCTGGGTGTCCTCTAGCACCAGCTGGCCAGTGTGACGCCCCTTGTATGTGGCGTCCAGATATGCCTCAGAAATCCCAGACTCTTCAAGACCCCTTCTCTACTGCTGCCCCTTTCTATCAGACAATGAAGATATTTCAAACATCACAGAGAAATGTGAGTGTTTCTGGTTTTCCCTCTCTCTGCTTTCTGTTCAAGTATCTTCATTCAGATTTGTGAATTCACAAGTTCACATGTTTTCATACCTCCAGTTTTTTAGAAAATGTTCACCTCTCTTCAGCAGGCCTACTCCTTCGATTGGTGATGTTGCTCCTGTGTTAGTTCTTCTCTTGGACCTTGTTTAATCAGTTACTCTTGGTGTTTGTCCCTCTTCTTCCCATCCGGCTTCTTCTCGGCACACCATAAGTATATCCTCATCTCTCACATTAAAAAATAAATAAACACATAAAATCTCCTTGCTCATCTACATGTTCTATTCAGGTAACACCCCAGCCTCTCTACTTCCTTGTTCTCAGGGAAAGAGAGAAAGAAGTAAATAATCCTACTGCTTTGATTGATTCTTAAATTACTGAGGTGTGGATTACCTGCAAATCCAATACCATTTTTTCAATTCAGTTGATATTTGTACCACATAAATATTTGCTTATTCAACAGCTTCCTTGGGATATGTCTCAAGAACGCCAAAACAATATTCCCTGAGTTGTACTGCCAACCTATTCTTATGCCTGTCCTCTATCTTGGTGAACAGCATTACTCAACAGACAAGCCAGAAGTCTGGGTATCTTCTGATATTCTTCAGCCCCTCTACTCTTTTATGTTTAAGTAGTTACCAAGTCCTTAGAGCTCCTGCATCTCCATCCCCATGGCTGTGGTTAAATATTCAGCATTTTTCACTGGGCTATTAAAATCGATTTTTATATTTCTTACAAGCTTAAAGAAAAAAAAAAAGTTAACTCTTCCCGCATAGCCTAGGTTAAATCCAGTCTTCTTAAGTGCCATTAAAAGGCTCTCCTCCCTGTTTTGATTGATGTCTAAATTATCTTTTGTTTTATTTTGTTTGGCTGTAGTGAGTCACAGACTTACCACAGATTCCCTGATGAAAACTATAGATTGTTTCTTCAAATAATTGTGCATTCCCCCATTACACACAAGCTCACACTTTGTTGTAGTGATATGACGGGGTTTCATGGACACCCTGAGATCTATCCATGAATCCCATGGTCCAAACCAACCTCTTGCCATATTCTCCAACATCTTCAGCAATGCCGAACTACTGACAGTTCCCCCTAAATGCCGCGTTGTTTCTTGCTTTGTGATGCTCCCTTACGCAACCCCTGCCTGCCTGATTCACTTGATGACCAGAATAAAATCTACTGATCTTCTGCCTATTTGCCTAAGGTTACCTCTAGGCTTATCCTCATTCTCTCCTCACACACACAGAGGTCTGGGTTATTACTCTCCTTTATGACCCTATTATATATGTCTTCTATCAAAAGATAATAAAATAATCCAGAGTAGACAGTGTGACTTAAGGCTAAAGGCGCTTGGAGTGAGAATGACATGGGTTCAGATAAATAGCAGAAGTGAATATAATATTTGCTAATGTCCCCTGACCCAGGTACAGAGTTCAAGTTTGAGAAAGGAAAAATTTCTTTTGTCAAATTAGTACCATTGGAGTCTTTATGATGGAAGTGGCATTTAAATTGCTTTACAAACTATAGAGGATTTTGGAATGCAAAGATTTAAAGGTAGAGAAGAAGACCAGTGATAATTCTCAGACCCGCATGGCATTTACTAAGCTGCTTTCAACATCAGAAATTAGGACCGTGATTGTTTTTGCTAGATTCTTTTCATAGTATGATGTTAATCACAAGAAATTAACTTTAATGTGATTCATGTGACTTAATCCCTGACCTATTTATTTCTTATTAGAAATGTGATTTTCTGGAATTCCTGCTGAGTTCATTTTTCTAATTGTCAGTTCATCCTTATATTTACTGATTTGTACTATTTCATCAAATGTGTTTTTAGGAAATCTAATCCTATGGGAAACTCATTAATAAAGTACTCTATGGGCTAATAGGCTTGTGGTTCATATTAACACAGTAAAGTCTCTGAGAAGTTCTGCGGTAAAGAAACTTCACTTGTTTAACTCACCACTTCACAATTTATTTGACCATAGAACCAATCCCCCCTTTCATAATAGCTGTTATTATGGCAAAGGACTATTTCTCCACACGTTGGGGAATTATAATGAACTATGAATATTCATCTGGTATGCACTCCCTTTCTACATAGAACAATTTATTAGCATCCAAGATAAGTTGTTTTACATTTTTACTCACATCTCACAGATTCCAAAGTACTCCTTAACTCAAAGTACTTATATCGTAGGTCATATATGTGTTTTAAATATTTTTATTAACCTATATTGTAAGACAACTTTTAATATATTACCGAAAAGTCTAATTACAATATCACAGATCTTTTGGTACCAAAAGGATGACTAGATTTCAAATGGCTTTCCCCTTCACAATTCATTTGAGGAAACAGAATCCTAGAGAATTTTAAGAACTTTATGAATTTCATGGAGGGATTCTGTGGTGGAACCTAGGCTTAAAAGTGTATATCTTGAATAAAAGCCCAGTATTCTTTTGTTGCTCACTAATCTAATTCATTGCTTAATAAGACATTTATAAATAATGAAACCGATCCTGTTCATTATGATAGTTGTGATTTTTCATGACTTACAAGGTTAGAAACAAAAACTAAAAGAGTTTATGTAGGTGTCCAATTCCTAATGCATAATCATTACTAAGCGTTGCTGAAATAATATTTGACCTAATTGAGAACAAAACCTTTAAAGTAATTTAGAAACGAAATTGTGATATTCAGAAGAAATGTTTTTAAAACAGAATGTTGGAAAAATTGACTCCACAAAACACGAAATATAAAGCGAAAGTCAGATTCTTTTTATTCCTATTTGGTTGTTTAGTTTTTCATTTAATAAAGATGTTTTCTTACAACATGAAACCACTCTTGGGGATCAAAGTCATTAGGAGAACACAGCAGATTGAGGTTATTAGTTGATTCTAACCAGTTCTGCAGTTTTAGCATAAGTTGTTTTTTTAAGGCAGAGGCATTTGTGTCTGTTAGGAAATATCGACCTTTAAAATTTGTTTCCAGCATGACACCATATCATAGCCCCTTCCTTGCTAACTTTGAAAAAAGTAGGAGACAGTTTATCTCAATCAACCACATATAAACAAATTTAAAAGGCAAAATGTATTCTCTTCGTATATGAAACCACTTTCTTTTATTATAATTTGATTTTATTACTAAAAATACCAGGTTATAATAGAGTTCGGGATTGTCGAGGTATAAAGACACATGATCCTACATTTCTCATACATAAAGTGAGCATTTGTGTGTGTGTATAGAAAACCTCTTTAAGTCTAGGAAACACATCCAACCTTTTCAAGATTAAGGAAGCAACACCCCACCTATGATATTTTAACTAGAAAACATTAAATAAATAGAAGTCCAGTGGACTTACCTTCAATGTTTGCAACATTGTTACCATGTGGAAATGAATGTTGCAAAGTCAAATGTGACAATAAAATATAAGGAATAGGATAAATTTGCTAAAGAATAAGGTATATTTGCTGAAGTATATACTCAGATATTGAATTATAAGTAATAGTATATGTTATGTTGAGAAATCATGTGCAAATTTAAAAATCTTTTGATTTTTCAGATATTCTATACTCCCCTGGCCCTCTTCATACCACCTTCAGTATATGCTGTTCATCTTCAGTTCAATCTCCTCTACCAATTTTGGATCCACACAGAGGTAAATCTTTTTTTTTTTTTTTTTTAAGTTTTATACCTAAATAGTTAGCCTGAAGCAATGTCCTGGAAATCCACTAGCAGCTGATTTATTGTGTAAGAAAATCTTTGTCTGCCTTCTTTAAGGAGAAACATCTGTTCATTTTTATTCCTTTTTACTGAATATATATTGCAAAGTTTATAAGAAGCAATGAGGCCAGTTGGTCTCAATTAAATAAAACCATTTTTTGAACTATTAAGTACCAAAACATTTTAATACTTTATTCAATACAATATCTTCCTGTATTATAATTTATTAAACATTGTTTCCCAAAAGATATTGAAATTTATTTCAATATAAAGATATACATTTATATTTATATATTTTATGTTTATAAATATAAGTAATATTTATATATTTGATATAAATATTTATAATAATGATAATTCATTTTATAATGTAATTCATATTTATAATATAACTTATTCTATATTAATAAATACTTAATTATGTATTTAAATAGATAACATATTTATACATTATACAAGTCAGAAGTTCTTGAAAACTCCTTGAAAAAAGTTTACTGCTTAAAGAAATTATACAAATATTTTTTTATTGAAAATCTTGCTTTAATTTTGGATGTTAAGTTTTATTTAAAAGGTGTTCAATATATTGTTAGTTTTTTTTCCTCCCAGAAAAGAGAACAAATATAATTTCTTGGGTCTTCTGTTGTATCTCAAATTGTCAGACTTGAATGTTTGCAGAAAGATCATTAAGCAACTGATTGGTTTATGAACTATTGTACTGATCTGGTTGTTAAGCACCAAAAATCACAGACCCAGAAAAATTTTTACTTACACATATGAAAACTCTGTCAAGCATTTGGTATTTATTGGAAGCCTTTTGAAGTTCTATAGGAAGCACACTGACAGGTGTTGCAACTGGTTGAACAATGCCGCAAATCACAGCTGCATTAGATACCAAAGCTTGATGCAACAAAGTGCATTATTTCATTAATCTGCAGTATTTCATGCTACTGATTTACTTGGGATAAAGAGGCTGTTACCAAGACTTGGGGCATATGTGGCATTATTTGAAGATCTGTTATAAAATAGCATTGCATTTCATGGTAGTTGACATACATCAAACAGTCAATACTGCAGCCATCTGAAAGAGTTGTTGAGGCCAATTCTGACTCGAAAGGTCAAAGACCAAATTTGTTTAAATCAGTGGAGGGAAGCTTTCTGATGATTTACGTGGAGGGGTTAAAGGAGAATTACATTTTTATAGCAGCTCTGCTTCAGGTCATGCCATGTGTTGGATCAGGTATTAGTCTGGATAAAGAACAATGGTGCCTAAGTAACTTCTGCCTTTTCCTGTGTCACTGGGAGAGGTTCATGAGCCAGAGCTTGGGTTCCATCCCAGGAAGTAAAGGGAGAATGGAGGAGAGTCAGTGGTGAGACATTTCTTTTAAGCTCAGGACCTCCAGGGGGCTTCATTCCAACTGGAAAGCAATGTATTAGAACCTTTCACTTGTGTCATCCATCATACAGGTTTTTCACTTCTGCTGACCACCATAAAACCAGTTCTCACTCTGAGGGGAATCTGGCCTTAAGGAAGTACTGATTTTCTAAAAGTGAAGGGGAGTTCACACCCTTTTCAATCAATCAGGTTACGAGAAGAGGAATAAAAAACTAACTAACAACATGTTTTTGAGAGATTGTGTATAAGAGAAAAAATAGGTCATAAGATAAACGGAAGAGTTTATAATGAAATGTTTTTGTTAACTTCTGCATTACTTTGATGAAAAGCCAACAGCATCTATTGCCTTCCTCTTTTTTGAAAGTTATAAAAGATTCTGCTTGAAACTATGCTATGTTGCTTCATTTTTATGACTGTTTTTGTTTATTGTTCCTTCATCTGAAGTGTCCACAGCACATAGTAGTATTCTTTGCTTGTGAGTAAACTAAAGACAAATAGGAAAAAGTTTTATTTAATGCATATTTTAAATTTAATAACTGTGGAATGTTGAAATTATTCTTGAGGTATTAGATGCTATATGGGTTTTAGCTAATTTACACAGTACAGTAGTATTAGTAACATTATCTATCACCTTTGATTTATCTTAAATTTACTGTCATTGTTCGTGTACATATCAGATGAGGCTTGGGCAAAGAAATGCAACAGAGAAGTAATTCTTTGGTGTTGAAGATTTGAAAAATGATTCATTCATTTTTATAGTGCTAAACTGAAGCCCCTATATGAAGCATTACGGAGTTATAAACATAATGAGCAATCTCTTTAAGTACTCACCTGGCACATAACAGGATATAATCTATGCTAATATTTATATTAAAAAAGGAAAAACAACTATATGTTTATATATGCATAAAACATCTCTAGAAGTAAACATGGGTAGCCAAGTGGTGTTTTTTTTTCTGCAGAGGGATATTTCGGATGGCTTAGAATGGGATATTAACATTAATTTTACCCATTCTAATGTAGGTAAAGAGCTATCTTTTTGTGGTAATATTTCCCTAATCATGTTGTTTAGCAGGATTCTATGTAGTTATTGGATATTGACATATTTACTTTAATGGACTGTCAGTTCAAGCCCTCATCTATGTTTTTACTGGGTTGTTTGCCTAACTGATTTGTTGGAAATCTTTAGAGATTCTAGATATAACATTTATCAGATACGTGTATTTTAAATATATCCTTCCAGTTTGTAATATGCCTTTTCATTTTCTCCCTGGTGACTTTTGATGAAAAAAAAAATTTTGAATTTTGAAGTTTAAGTTTTGTTTTTTTTCTTTTATGGTTAATTTTGCTTTTTTTTTTAATGTATTTTCTCTAAGAAATTTTTGATTATCACAAACTCTGAGAGAAATTATCCAAGTAAATTCTTTTGGAAACTGAGTTTTAACTTTACCTTACGGACTGTGATATACTTGAATAAACTTTTGTATATGGTATTTGGTAGGGGTCAAGATTCATTATTTCTTTGCACATACCCACTCACTCCAACACCATTTATAGTAGTGTAGACTTTCTCTTATCCATTGGATTACCTTAGTGCTTTTGTAGAAAAGAAATTGACCGTATATGGTTAGATCTAATTTTATACTTCTATTCTCCATTGATTTATTTGTCTCCTCTTATATAAATCCCCCCTTTACTGATCACTATAGCTTTATAGGAAGTGTGGCTTGTACAATTTGTAAAATAATTTGTATTAAAATTCTCTAAAACTTTCCTCATGTAAAATTGTGTAGTCTTTGAATAAATACAGTTCTCTTTCTTTCTTCCCTGTATTTATATCATTTATTTCTTTTTCTTGCCTTAATAGAATTTATAGAGGGTATATTTTAAATCGAATTTGGGGATAAAAAAACAACAACCTGAAAAGTATTTTCTTAATCATTATTTCTGCATCTTTCTTTCTCTCCTACCTGGGAACTCCAAATGAATGTTAGACTACTTTCTATGAATGTTAGACTACTATTTCCTCACAGATCAATTATGCTCTGTATTTTTTTAAATTTAACTTTCATATTTAGATGGGATAATTTGTATTAATTTGTCTATAAGTTTGGTTACCCTTTCACCAGCTCTCTCGAATCTGCTAGTAAAACCATTCAGTGGATTTCTAGCATCAGATATTAGACTTTAAATTCTAGAATTTTCATTTCTGTATTTATGAATAGCTTTCATTTCTCTGTTGCGATTATCTATTTGTCACTCATTTTGACTATCTTTTTATTTAAATCTTAATGATATTTTAAAATTCTTGTCTGCTAATTCTAACCTTTAAGTTATAGGTGGGTCTACTTCAAATTGAAATTTTTTGCTTGATTTGGACCACATATGTCTAGTAATTTTATTATTATTATTATTATTATTATTATTAGCCAATATTTATGACAAGTTTATTGTAGAGACTCTAGATTTTGTTTTAGTCCTCTGACCTTCCTTACTTTTACTGTAAGAGGCAGTGAAATAATTGACTAACCATCTTTTGTTTTTGGAGGCTTTTGATTTACACTTTGTTAGGAGATGTATCATTTATTACTGTCTTTAGTCCTAAGACATATTCTTTATCCTTGGTGGTCTTTAACCTTAGGGCAAGTCCTATTACAAAGCCAATTTCATTTGGTAGGATTTGAACTCTAAATTCTCTTGCCAGGAACAAGCAGTAGTTGAAATCCCTGCTCAGCAATTTTCTAGCTTTTTACCTTTCTCCCCTTTCACCAGGTTCCCTAGTGCCTTGTTCTATGCTTGAGTTATTTGAGAGTCAGCCAAGACTCTTAATTCAAGAGTCAGGTTTGAGAGAGATTTGTGTGCAGATATTGTGGCTCCTTCTTCTGTGGTTCCTTTTGGGGGTGGGGTGGGGGTGATTTCCCGTTTCAATTTCCAGTCACTCTTGCAGTCACTAGATGAAAGTTTGATCTCTGGCTCCTAACCTAATGAGACTAGCACTTTCTCTTTGAGCTCTACCCCCACTTCTTGTGTCAGGACATGCCTTGGGACAGTCTTTCTATTAGAATTGTGCTATGCCAACTAAATCCACCAAGCAGAAAGACTGCCATCCATGATCTAATTGACAAGCAATGAAGAAAACAAATTTATTTCTCATTAGCAACACAACCTACTCAAGGAATTGTCCCAATCAGATTTTTTCTCTGGGGATATATTTATGATAGACCTATATAGTGTGGGACAAGAGAAATTTGAGTATAGGAGAACTGAGGCAATGCAATGTGCAAAATTAGAAAGCATAGGAAATATGCAGTAGAGCTATGAAGCAACATAACTAAAGAGACAAAAGAATCCAGAGGTCTGAAAAAGCTAGGAGATACAGAGAATAGGAAAATGCAGCTCTAGCAGCCGAAACAACAGATTGGTAACAGCACGAGCAGAGTTTTAGGAAGTCTGACTTTTTGATGATACAACTAATAGAATGTTTTGCTTATTGCTCTTTTGTATCCAACATTATGGTTTTCATGTAAGTCTGGCAGTATTCA